TCTGTCTTCACAAGACTCTGTCTAATTTCCAGTTTAAGCAGTCACCACTTTGTTGCGTGCAGGTTGGAGGCGCGCAACTTTACAACTGATAGAATCGAACTGGCCCTATCAGTAACCTCTGAAGTCCCTCTATCGTTTCCTGTCTGGGCAGGGTGTATTCAAATGAGAAATATAATGATAGCTTGTTGAAGAAGTCGCCTGGTTTCCAAAGCAACGTCTGCTGGGAAATGGAGAAGCACTGCAATTATTTTCTAAGAGCTAGCCAAAAAAAATTAACCTTGGGCCATTCTGGACAAATGACATAATTCAAATTAATATTCGTCGGGTATATACAAGACAACATCATTATGGCATTAAGATGAAGCAAGGCATTTAGATTTTTTTGCAGCCAGTTGGCAACTTAGGCTCACCTTTGGTTTGACTCGAAACAGTGGAGCATATTTTGGATTTTAAAGCTAAATTTATTATTTTTAGGTTTTTTATTATTTTTTTTTTAAGTTTTCAGGTATTTTTCTGTACTCCTTTTTTTTTTCGTTTTTTTCCTTTTTTTAGATATGCTTACTTTTAATAGTCCGAACTTATATTTAGCGAAACGCGACCATTTATTTAGGACTGTTCAGTGTAATTACGTCAATTTTTAGCTTATTCTTATTAAGGCAATTCATAGTGAATTTCATTTAGATTCAAGACAAATTAAAACAAACCATCTGCGCACTGAGGGGGAGAAAAGCGGAATATAGAAAACGAACCAAAGATAAGCCCAAACAGAGAAAACAAATTTCAGCTTAGATGAAAAATTAACTTTAGGGAAAAAGTAAACCGTCAGACCCTTCAGCAATTCCCATTATGCTGAGATTCTAGAGCGTATTAATATTTCTTTATTTCTTGCAGTTTGCACGACCAAACATGACTGCATATATCATCCCCAAACAATCTACAAGTCAGCATTTGACAGAACAACCCTTCTTCATCGACATCAAACGAATAGCTGGAGTACGTGAAACTATGATATAATTTGAATCTCTTCATTTAGATGGGGGCGGGCAGCAGAAAGAGGAAAAGCTAAAAATTTTTGCTTTGTTGGACCCATGCATTTGGCTGGTGATAGAAAAAAATGAAAGATCACCAACAATCTTTCATAAGCAGTCAATCAGTATTATTAGCCGGTAAACATCCAGAAAACGTAAACCTCAGTCTCATTGAACGTAATGGCAGACATTTGACATGTAATACAGAACATTAGTAAATAATGAAAAGCTTAAAAGATCTTGGTTCACATATTCTAAAAACAAGAATGCAATTTTTTGGACACCCCTGCAAGATTTGTCAGAAACTTGGTGCTGCCACCACATCATACTACAGGATTCATTAATTGGAAAATAGTTTTAGCAAGATTAACTGAGCACGAAGCGTCTGGAATACACAGAGGTGCATGATTAAGTGGAAAATTCGAGTACAACAAATGAAATCGTGTCACGGCATCGATCACGACACTGAACGACTCATTTACACAAAGAAAGAAAAATGGAGAGAAATTCTATTTAGTCATGGATGCGGTACTGTATCTTTCAACAAACTGTCGTTCTTTTCTTGGGTCTGATGATATCCCAAGTAGCCTGTTCACAAAGTGTCCTCGACCTAGCGAAGGAAATTTTCTGAATTTAATCTCTCCGCTTGCATGTTTGGTCCGCTTGCCGTAATTCAACTCTTAAGTACCAGTCTAAAGCATTTAAAAGAAATTAAAGATATTATTTCTCTTGATGCAGAATCAAAGTAGGAGGTAGGACATCTGATACAAGCTGTGAAAAATTTTGAATTTACTATCAACCTGAAAATTTGAGGTATTATTTTTTCAGAATTCATAATTAATAAGTTCCAGAAATTAATTATAATTTCCAGAATTATAAAAAATGAGAGAAAAATCCTATGGAATATTGGATGCAAGAGTCTAAAACAGTAGTCGAAAAAAATGCACTTTAGTCTATTCTGACAAAGAAAAAATTCGAAAGTACAAAAAGCACTGATGAACTGTTTGAAGACGAATCACGAACATTTCAACCTGTTCAGATAGAAGTTTCAGCAAATTAAAACATATTAAAAAAATATCTGCGATCATCGGTGAGCCAGGAGCGTTTATCAAGTACCGCGATTTCGCCAACCGAAAATCAAACCGCAGATATCTTCCTCTTCTCCCAAGCTACTATTTCTCACATGATATTTACTTCCATTGGCATAATAAAATGTTGCCCACATCCTTAAAGGAGCCAAATTGTCATCACTGAGACTGCTCTCCAAAAGATATCCCTAATAAGTACAATTCAAAATATCGTATATCTAGATGCAAGCAGGAATTAAAATCGGAATCAAGTAACTGACGTCTATATAACTTAAAATTTTATGTTTTCTTTCTAAATAAAAATATTTTTATTAAGACAATATTTGTTTCTGGTACGTTTCTACTTATTGTAAGCGTAGCAAACTGTAGCAGAAGAGTAGCGCCATCTTGTGGTCAGTAGAAATTTTACGGAGGCCACCGAAAGAACTTTAGACTTTTCTTTGACCGAAACACAAAATATTTTTACACTGCCAGGCCTTGAGTATTAGTTGGCTTTGCTTTAACTAAGATAATAAGTTGTATTATACTGGGTTTCTACTGCATAGAAGCAGTACTTCCCAGTAACCGAAGAGACTTCCCGAAGGACTTGACATTGAGGAAACATCAGGTGGGTCCTGTAGTGGGAGATCATCAGGAAGAGGTTAGTAATTCTACAGTGAACAACCCTCGCGGTTCGCCACGGGTGGTTGGAGAACTTTTCGCTTAAAGAATGGACTAACTCCCCCCCACTTCCATCGAGCGGCTTTCCTCCCTAGTCTTTTTATGTAATAAACATATGTTTCCCCCCCCTCGCTCATCCCCAAGGCATTAGCAATCTCTGCGGTTTTCCGTATTACCTAACTTACCTTTCCCAGGCCTTGGAACAATACGTTTCCCGGCCGATTGTCTTCCAACCTTTCCGATTCCATAAACGCAATGCGTTCCGGAATTCGCCTCAACTTAACTCACTTCTCTCTCTTTCAATCTTAAATTACAAGTTGAAAGCAGAGAGAATTGCTCGTTTCCATATGCGGACTTCCTTATTCACTCTTTTCGTATAAACCCTTAACGGTTTGTTCATCTCTCCTTCAGCCATTGCTTTTTCTTATCCACTTCAGTTTTCCTTATCGAAGTTGTGGAGGTAATTGCATTAATTTGCAAAGGTACTCCGGAAACTATCGCCTTGGGCCTTGAAAGAGGTTAGAAAAGAAAGAGATAATCGAAATGTCCTTGCACATGGCGCCATCTAGTGGCGATGAAAGTTTTGCTTTAACCACGCGGTATAATGATATTTACACTCTCTGGCTTTAATGCAACAAGTATATCTGTTGCTCACCAGATGGCGCCAGGGGCTCTTTTCTCAGCAGAATTTCAACACCAGTTTGATGGGTATTCTCTCGCCGTGTTCCATGCGAAACTGTTTTGATTATTTTTCATACTTGCATTCGTGCTGATTTCCTGTTAAACGCCGTCAAATATCGTACACCCAAATAACAAGCGTATACCTGATGTGCACGGCGATGGTAGAGTGGATAGATCTTCAATTTTCTAAGATATAATAGAGAAGTTTTTTTGTTCCAAATTAATATGAATATTTCTTTCGCTTCAGCAAAATACATTGCTTATTGCTCACGATTTTTTGTCTGTTTAGCAGTCTTATCAGAAGTGCATCCAAATAATCACTTGAAAATCAGAATTTCATGTAATCTTAATGTAGCATAATGACATAGATTCATAAAAACGCATGATATATGTATAAAATATATGAAGTAAATATTTTCGAAATGTATCTGCAATCATGTCATCCGTATATTAGGCAAAAGATTAAGCTGGTACATTACATGTGTTACTTTTTTATAATCATTTGTTTTTCTGCAAAATAGCGACAGCTACTGCGAAGCGTGAAAAATTACTTTGCTCCTGATTTTTTTTAATTCACCCATTTATATCCATGCACATCATGAAAAATGTGACAAATCGTTTAATATCTAGTCTTTCTACTTACATTTAGTTGTCTAGGCAAGAAATATAATGTCTAACAAATCGTTTGGAAAAGGAAACATTTCAAGAGAGCCCATGCATATCCGCACAGGAGATAAACCTCATGTGTGTGAGGTATGTAATCGATCATTTAAACTAAAAGGTAAATTAAACACCCATATGCGTATTCACACTGCAGAGAAATCTTACGTGTGTAAGGTATGTAGCAAGGCTTTCATTCGAAAGGATCATTTAAGCAAGCATATGCTTATTCACACAGAAGAGAAACCTCATGTATGCAAGTTATGTAACAAGCCATTCAGACTTAAAGGTCATTTAAATGAGCATGTGCTTCTTCACATAGGAGAGAAACTATATGTATGTGATGTATGTAACAAATCATTTAGACACAAGAGTGTTTTAAATCAACATATGCTTATTCACACAGGAGAGAAACCTCATGTGTGTGAGGTATGTAACAAGCCATTTAGACGAAAAGGTGAGTTAAGCAAACATGTTCTTCTTCACACGGGAGAGAAGCCATATGTGTGTGAGGAATGTAACAAATCATTTAGACATAAGAGTGTTTTAAATAAACATATGTTTTTTCACACAGGAGAGAAACCTCATGTGTGTGAGATGTGTGACAAAGCATTTATACGAAAGGATCATTTAAACAAACATGTTCTCCTTCACACAGGAGAGAAACCTCATGTGTGTGTGGTATGTAACAAAATGTTTCGACTAAAGAGTAGTTTAAGCAAGCATATGCTAATTCACACAGAAGAGAAGCCTCATGTGTGTGTGATATGTAGCAAAACATTTAGACTAAAGTATCATTTAAATCAGCATATGCTTCTTCACACAGGAGAAAAATCTCATGTGTGTAAGGTATGTAAGAAAGCATTTAGTCTAAAGAGTAATTTAAGGAAGCATATGTTTCTTCATGCAAGAGACAAATTTATGTGTGTAGATATGCAGCAAATTATTTAGACAAAAATGTGGTCTAAACAAGCATATGTTTATCTCTGTAACAAGCATGTATATGCTTATTACATATATATAATAAATATATAAATATTACAAGTCTTTCTCGGTTTCAAAACAGTGGTGCACATTAAAATTATGACAGACTGAAGCCTAAAAATTTTTTTGATTCATTGGTAAAGCCTAGTAAAATGATTTCCATAATACTAATAATGTTCTTGAAGAAAATAAGAAACTAACCATGTTTGGTATTTTGTTGCCATTTGGGCGGTTTTAATGACCCAATTCTGCAATTATGCCCAACAGATATTTGTAAAACATGACTGTCATAAAAATAAGACCTATGCCAGATTATTTTGACATAATTTATGGTAGTTATTTGAGTAACTAAAAGACTGACATAATGTGCTTTGTTTTGTATGATAATTTTAAATATTTTAATTTTTTTATTATAACCATAAACATTTTTGGGTAAAGTGCAAAATGGCCCACTAATTCGTTTGGCACTTTTTACAAGAGTAAGAAGAATTGGGTTTTTGTCAATTTTCTTTGACATTTTAAGTGAAAATAAGTCGATGTGTACATGGATAAAGGGAGTGCACGGTGCCATTTTTGTTTGCAATTCTGGAATATTTTTTAAAGTAGATCAGTGTGTAAATGGATACTAATTTAGTGCAATTATTTTAAAAAAAAGTCAAGCAGTGGGTGATTCTGCACTTTTCCCACATTTTTGTATAAATTATTTACACTCTTAAAAGACAAATATCTCAAAAGAATTCTCAAAGCATTTAAGGAAAAGAACTCTATTTTTTTAAATGTGTTTCATGTTGCATGTTTAAAATGGTTTTTGAATTTATTTGAAAAGCTTATTAATGTTAAAAATAAATGTTATTAATGTCTTTGTAAAAAACAGGTTGTAGGGAGAATTTGTTGGTGTGTAACTAAATATAAGGTCGTAAAAAACTATTGAAAATTAAATAACTTCATTTTTTTATCATTCTTTGGCATATGAAGCATAGATATTTAATATTAAGATTAATGCTTAAAATTAATACACACAGTGTTTAAATATGCAGTTAAGACTCACACAAAATGCACCTTTCTCCTAATTTTCTTTGGAATAAAATCTAAAAGAGACATTCAACATAACCATTCTATGTAGCATTATGTGTATAAATTAGCATGTAATTGTTAGGATATAAAAATTAGTTGCATGAATGTCTTGGTACTCTTCTGTTATCGGGACCAGATTCAGAAATGTACATACATATGCATGTGTATATGGATGTATGTGCATTTGTGTGTGTGCATACACATACACACATATACATGTAAGATATAAAAAAATACGGTAGCTGTTTTAAGACTTATTGCCAACCTCAAAAATTAACATTCTATATGTAGTCTCTCTCTCTCTTTCGCCTCTACACCTGCATGCTGACAGCTTGTTGCTCAGCTTGTGCTAGCTGTTTACCATTAATTAAAATGCATATTTAAAATTATGGGAGGCATTTAGCACCCCTAGTCTTCTACAGTTATGTATTAAGAAAATCGTCATTCAGAATAGATGATATTTAACTATCAAGCTGGTCAAACTTCTAAAATTCCATCCAGTCATCCATTGTGCCATAATGTCCAGTCATGTCAGTATCTATGCAGCAGGTTTTTCTGGCCATGACTAAACGAGAATTGTTTTCATATTCCACCAAATGCTCAATTATTACACACATATGCAGACATGAACGAATACATCCATCCATACATGCATATATACATACATTTCTTAATCTGGTCCTGATAACAGAAGAGTACCAATCTCTTTTTAACATCATTAATACTGATATACCTCTCTTTACTTAATAAAACTTACCAGCAAAATTTATTGTAAATATTTATGCCTCATGTTTTGTAAGCAATGAAAGAATTTTCTATTTATTCCGAATACTGTGTGTATGGATGAAGAATTTTTGCAGAATTAATCCTGCTTTTAATAAACAAAATACTACATAAATAATATACAAGCATATACATGTAGAATTATTTGTACAAAAATATATAGTAGAATATAAATAAAAATGGTACTATTCGGTTTTGAGGGCCGTAAAAAAAATTGCAGCGAAAATGTATTTGCAAAAGCACCAAATCTAGCAAACGCGCCCATTTAACAGCTCTCCAAATCTAGCGTGCACGTTGATTTCAGATTGCATAAGTTTATATAGTTCTATATTTCTTAAGACGCCATTGACATACGAGTTTAATTTTTAAATCTTTTTTTGATATCCTATGGATTTAACAATTTGGGAATTGCCCATGACAAAAAGTTGGCAAAGAATTTTGGGTAAAGTGCAGAATCACCCACTGCTTGACGCATTCTTAAAAATTGCACATCGACCTATTTTCACTTTAAAAAAAATCCTAGAATTGCACAAAAATGGCACTGCCCACACCCTTGACTTTATCTATGTACACTTCGACCTATTTTCACTTAAAAGTAAAAGAAATTAATAAAAATTCAATTGTTTTTACCCTTGTAAAAAGCGGCAAAAAAATAAGTGAGCGATTATGCATTTTACCATGAATATTTTCAAAGAAAAGGCATCATTCATTATAGAAAATTACGTTTGAACAACCAACGAGATAAAATTATGCTTTAGTGATAAGTCAGTAGCGAAATAGTGATGCAGGCATTCATTCAGTTATGTTTAGCAATTTTTATATAAATTATAATAATGATTTGAAATAGTTATTTACTCTTATGCTTCCATTCAGTCATGTTTAGTCTTTTTCATATAAATTATAATAATAAAAAAGTATTATATGAAATTAACTTTTCATCTAAATTAAAACATCAATCTTAGATAGTTATTTACTATTATACTTCCTTTCTTGCCACAATTATTAGGGTTGCTGCAATTATTTTTGGCAGCATTGGCATCAACAATAGTTTGGCGATTTTTTACAGCCCTCGAAAACCGAATAGTACCATAAAAATTTATGACCTGAATGAAATAACTGCAATACTTTTACATATCTGAATGAGGTATAAATTCTTGCAATGACATTTAATTATTTAATGATATATCCAAGGTAAAATGAATTGTACAAATACAAAATGTTTATGGGTCATTTATGTTTGTATAAAACACCAGTATTAACCACTTGCCTGACTATCCCAAGTTATCCTCGAATTCGTATATATTGTAGTTAATTATTATCCCGTGAAAACTCGGGCAAAGCACAATTTGTTAGTACAATTTATTTTATCACAGTTTTACTTGGCCTGGAGAAAATGAAAAGAAATATTCAGCTTTGATTGAAAGTTTGCCAAATTTTGTTGGTTGTGCAGTTCTTTTGGAGGGACTGGTCACGTGTTTCCCTCTTGTATAGTATACGTCGACTTGTGGATTAGTAATGTATAAAGGATTGAAAAAAGTAAAATAATGGTGATGATGCAAGGTAGCAAAAGCGATGATTTTTCAGATAGTGATTATGAAAAGGTGGAAAAAAAAATTTTTTTTTTAAATCAAATCCAACGAGACAATATACTCTGTGCTCCCGTCAAAGAGATTCCAGCGGTAAGCCAGTAAGAAAAGAAACCAGATACCAGTGTAGAATGTCAGGTATCACTTTGTGTTGTCCTTTGTTTCAAAAACTATCATACAAAGACTAATATTCAACTTTTTTTTGTTTGCCCGAGATAACTCAGGATAGTAAACTAATATTGAAACTAAATGCCTTCAAAAAATTAAAAATTCAACTTAAAATCTGCATATTTTGATTTGTTTCATTTTGTTGTATTTAATAATAAAATTTTAAAAATGTGATGATTTTTGCAATTTTTTTCAGAAAAATTTGTAAGGGAAACGGTTAACCCGCGGAAAGGCACGTGGGGTGTATCATACCCCAACCCTACATAAAAGTGGAATATTCCTAACTTGTGAAACTGAAATTCTGTGCTGCTTTCAGTAGCTGAGTTTCTAGTTGTGGTTGAATTTCAGAACCGCTTTTTCTTGGGAATGGGGGATGAAATGTCAGCCAATTATTCAATTGCCAGAATAACAAGAAGGTGGCCAATGGTAATTTTCATTCCTGCACTGAATGTTGCTGTAATAAATGCTTGAATTATATTACATTCAACTGCTAATCCACCAACAAGAAACAGAAGTCTGTTTTTGAAGGACTTAGCATTACAATTAATGAAGTCTGTTTTTGAAGGACTTAGCATTACAATTAATGAAAAAAAGTATTGAACAAAGATCAGAGATTAATACTTTTCCAAGAAATTGACGTACTGCATGCAAAACAAAGCAGACGTTTCGATGAAGAATTAAAACGAATACATGAAAATTCGAAACAACTAAGTATTGAAAGATGCGATGTTAAATTTTTTGCCCTCGCGCCAAGGACAGAAGAACGTGAATGCAAATGTTTAAAATGTGAAAACATTCTGTGCCAAGAACACAAGAATGTATTTCGTTCAAAGTGTGAAGAAATAAAATGAAGCATTGTGTATATTAGTACACAATGAAACTTAGAGGCATGATGTTTATTTTTCATTATTTTCATTTATCTTAATTTTAACTCTAAGATTATTTCGGAAATTAATTTTTAGAAACCCAATTATTCATTTATTTAATACATGAGAACAAAAAAAAAAAAAAAAAAAAAAAAACAGTTTTAAAACTAAATAATACTATTTTTATTGTATTTTAAATATTGGGGCATGTGATACCCCACGTGCCCACTATAGTAACTTTTCTTGGTGCGACTTCCATCGGGTTAAGCAACTTTTTGTATTAGTGTACATCTACCAGAAAAATTGTTTAAGAGTGATACCTAAAATGGTAGCACAATACAAAGTACTAATATTAACATCTGTTTTCATACTCAGATTGATGAGATAAATTTAATTGCAAACAAGATAAATTTAATTGCAAATTACAGGTAATCCATGTATTGATTATATGATGTATTTCTGTTACTAGTTGTATTCTTAATGGGACATCCAATATCCAGAATGATCTTATCCGAACCACCAGTCCAATAAGTATATAAATAATTAAGATAAAAGGTAAAAATATATTTACGGGTGCCCCTTGGTGTATTTTGTTGTCCTCAGTCCTCAGCTGCCAAAGTGAAAAATTTTTTTTCACTTTGGCAGCTGAGTGTGATGGTTCGGTAAAACCATCGAAACTAGTCCTGTGAAAATTTGCAATTATAATGCTGATTTTTGTTGTTTGACATCTGAACGAAGTAAATAAATAGATAAATAAAATTAAAATAATAAGCAAAATTCCCCTTCTGGTTTACAAAACTAGGAATGGAGAATACAATGCCCAATAAAAGAAAGTAGGCACACCTTAAATGTGATTTTTTTTCTCATGCTAGCTATGGCTTGGGGGTGTAGCCAAAGACAGTAAATTGTCTGACATATTGATGATGGCTAAGCAGTTTCAGCGCATGTGGGGAGGTGGATCAGCATTTTGTTTTGTCTAACCTAAACAATAAATTTTAATGTTGCCTTGTCTACATATCACATAATTAGATTTAAACTGATTATCAGAAATCCAAAATTTCTGAAATGCACAGTCTCAGAAGTAATAACAATTCCAGATCTCAGACTTTGTACTGTACCCATATTAGCATTGAATTTGTACTTTTATCTGCCAGATAAAATTAATTGTTTGAATATACACATGATTGTATTCTGTTTTATTCTGTAAAATAGCCATCTCAAGGTGAAATTTCTTTTCTTTTTATCCTTACTCTATACTCTCTCTTACTCTATCTCTCTCTTCTTTTTTCCTCTCACGTCTATGGTAACATCTGCTTTGGTAAGATTTCAGTGGAAGTGTGAAGATAGTTAAAATACATTTCTAAAGTAACAGAGTATTGAATATACAGATAAAGTTACTAATGCATATTGAATATCAAAATATGTTGTTATGCATGGGTAACATGCTGAAATAACTGAGCAAATGAAAGAGGTACATGTAAATATTTACACTAGCATCTCTTTAGGTACTATAGTTTATACCACAGTATTATTCACAATAATTTTATTTATTTATTCATCATTTATGTATTTAATCAATCCTAATATTTGCATAAATTAATACTGATCTGTACTAAATACAAATGTGCACACGGAAATAACAACTCTTTATACATCTCTGAAAAGAAGTATATTTGATGGAGTTGTATACATATACATCATGAATTATAAAAAAAAAATTTTCTCTTTAATAAAGTGGAAACTTCATCACATTCAGTAGAATTAGAAATCTGCATATGTACTGAAATGCTTCTGAATTAATAGTGACTTCCTGCTGCTTTGGCCTTGTTCATAAATGATACAGAGTGAGGATTTAAATACATGTAAAACTACTAATTTTTGAAGTCTCTTCTCTTAGTTACTCAATAGGTTAATTTTTAAACAAGAGAAAAAATTAATGAAATATCTTTCAGTATAGGATAATGTGTGCCAAGCAGGTTTCGGTACTTTCTGATTATCCACTTAACCTTCCTCAAAAGTAGCTTATCATTGGAGATTAATTTTTTATAAACCTTAGACAAAAAAAGCTATCTGAAAAATAGCAGCCCACTGAGAATTGCATAAAACAGTAACCAGTCAACAATTAAAAAAAAAAAAAGAAGTAGCCATAAGCAAACACTTAACTTTTTTCCCCCTTTGCTTTTCTCCTCATGTGCACAGTAATCTGTTTTAGTTAAAAAAAAAAAAAAGGATAATTTCAGAAACTTGCCATTGCACACTCTGTCCTTTCCTCATCTACACGGTAATCTGTTTTCACATAAATAATTGACAGAGAATCATACAAATTTGACATTGCAGTTTCTGTTGTTTTCCCATCATTCTT